AAATATTTTCTCCCATTCAGCAGATTGTCTTTTTTTATTACAGTTTTTATTTGGAGGGTTTTTTTTTGTTTTTGTTTTTTGGGTCACACCCAGAAATGCACAGGGGTTACTTCTGGCTCTGCTCTCAGAAATTACCCTTGGCGGTGCTCAGGGGACCATATGGGATGCTGGGAATCGAACCCGGGTTGGCCGCATGCAAGCGCCCTACCCGCTGTGCTATTGCTCCAGCCCCCTATTTGGAGGTTTTGAAGGGAAGGAGGGAGAGAAAATGGAAGAGAGACTGGGAGAGTGGAGATTGAGGTGCTAAAGAGAGAACCTGGGCTTCTCCAAGGGTCGAGAGAGCCCCTACACACATCCCGCATTAGACATGAAAACAAGAAAGTACACATCTCAACAGAGGAGATGCGGGCAACGTGCTCAGTCACCGCATGTGCTCGACCACGTATGCATAAACAGCATGTGGGCTTGGGCAGCATATATGCAGCAGCAGACTGTCTTAAAAAAATAATTATCCATAGTTTCTTTCAGAGTGCAGGAACTTTTTTTTTTATTAGTGAAACACCATGAGGTACAGTTGTAGATTTAATTTTTTGTGCTTGGGTTTCGATTATACAATGATCAGATACCCATCCCTCCACCAGTGCTCATTTTCCACCACCATGGATAATATCCCTCCCACTCCAATCCCCCCATCCCCCCTGCCTCTGTGGCAGGGCAATCCCCTGTGTTCTCTCTCTCTTTTTGGGTGTTGTGGTCGTGCAGGAACTTTTTAATTTGACATAGTTCCATTTTCAAAAGTCACATATTTGAAGACTCCTCTGAATCAATGGATTCAAATGGGAAAAAATGTTGACATATCACAATTTATCACATAAAGACACACAGAAAATGCACAAATTCAATACAAAAACTTCATTTAAGAATAAAAATATCTATACCTTAAATTGTCATAGTAAGGTAAAGGTAAATGTAAAGGCCGTCCCGTTGTTCGTCGATTTGCTCGAGCGGGCCCAGTAACGTCTCCATTGGAGACTTTGTTGTTACTGTGTTTGGCATATCGAATACGTCACGGGGAGCTTGCCGGGCTCTGCCGTGCGGGCGAGATACTCTCGGTAGCTTGCCGAGCTCTCCGAGAGGGGCGGAGGAATCGAACTCGGGTCGGCCATGTTGGCTGCGTGCAAGGCAAACGCCCTACCACTGTGCTATCGCTCCAGACGATATTGTCATAGTACAAAATCAATATACAAAATATACATAAATATACAAAAATATACAAAATATACAAAATATTTTTGTATATTATGTATACACAATATATTATGTATACATAATATGTTATGTATACAATATATTATGTATACATAATATATTGTATACATAATATACAAAATTGTATTTACATAAATACAATTAAAAATTGTATTTACATAATATACAACATACCATAATTGACATAATATACAAAAGTTGTATACATAATATACAAAAAATATACAAAGTCGAAATTGTCATAATACAAAATCAATATACAAAAAAAATCAATACACAAAATGTATTGCATTTTTAAAGGTAAGCAATGAATTAGAATATCATTCAAAGCTTTCATTTACAATGGCAACCACCAAAACCAGGTATCTAGGAAGCAGCTTAACAAAAGAGGTTAAAACATTTTTCCCCTAAAAAAACTGTCATTATTGAAAGAGGAAAAAAAGAAGACATTAGTAAATGGAAAAATATTTCATACTCATGTGATGGACGAAATAACATTGTTAAATGACCAACCTCGGATAAATGCACTTTACATGATTAAAAAAATTCACTCATTTCTTCTAGGTACTAAGTGAAGCACCAAAAAGTTGTTTAGCGTGTTCTTATGATCTTTTATGTTTCTGTGATGTATTGTAACTCCCCTTTCATGTCTGAGCTGATGTATTAGGAATTTCTTTTTTCTTTCTTCTGAAGGTCTAGCTAAGGATTATTAATCTTGTTTAGTTTTTCAGGAAAACATCTCGTGGGGGCAGGAAGATAGTGCAAGGAGTAGGATGCTTGCCAAACGAGACTGACCCAGGTTTGATCCTCAGCATCCATGTAGTCCATAGAGCACTGCCAGGAGAGATCCTTGAGTGCAGAGCCAGGAGAAAGACCTTAGCACCAGCAGGAGTGGTCCCCGAAATCATAATAACCAAGAAACAGTACAGCTCTTGGTTTCATCTATCTTCTGCATTATTCTTCTATATCATTGGCTTTTTTCTAATCTATTATTTCCTTCTTTCTTTGGATTTTTTTTTCTTTTTGGATCACACCCGGCAATGTATAGGAGTTACTCCTGGCTCTGCACTCAGGAATTTTTTCTGACGGTGCTCTAGGGACTATATGGGATGCTGGGAATCGAACCCAGGTTGGCCACGTGCAAGGCAAATGCCATACCCACTGTAGTATTGCTCCAGCCACCTTTGAATTTTTTAATGGGTACATTGAAATGCGAGATTAAAGCATTAATTTTAGCCTTTGCTTGTTTCCTGGTGTAATCCTTTTTGCTATGACTTACCTCTTACTCTATAGTACTGTCTTAGCTGTTTTCCATAGGTTCTGATACCTTGTATCTTCATCTTCATTTATTTCCAAGTATACTTTAAATTCTTATTTGATATGTTCCTTGACTTGAAATTAATAGTGTGCTTTCACGATCACGATCATCCTGTTGTTCGTCGATTGCCACGAGCAGGCACCAGTAACGTCTCCTTCGTCCTAGCCCTGAAATTCTAAAAAGTGCCACATTCAAGGCTCTTTCAGGGTTAGGAGAATGAGACCCATCATTGTTACTGGTATTTTGCATATTGGGTACGCCACGGGGAGTTTGCCAGACTCTGCTGTGTGGGCAGGTTACATTTGGTAGCCTGCCAGGTTGCCAAAGCAAGAATGAGATAATAAGATGTTGTGATGCAGCCACGTGCTTCTGGGAGCTGGGTTTTATAGTCTCTGGGTCTTGGCCGTTAATGGGATTACACGCGCGGGGGGGGGGGGGGGGAGTTGGTGGGTTTGACCCCCGCCTACTGGAAGATGGAGGATCTGGGTGGAGGATGCTCAGCCCTAATCCAGGCAGGCTTGGAGATCTCAGTCCCGGGACCAGCATGCCTTTATTCCTCTGCCAGTACCTTCATGTGTGTGGAGAGAAGTCTCAGCATGGTTGTGGCTGGTTCTGGAGGTCTTTGGCTTCCGGGGCTCTGCTCGGGGCTGGGAGGGAAACTCAACCCGCCCACCTCCAAGGGGCCCTGGTGAGGACAGCCAGGCGCAGGGGCAGGAGACTCTGCTTTGTAGTGTGCTTTATAGTATCTAAATGTTTGTGTTTTTCAGGCTTTAATTTTCCTTTTCTTTTCTTTCTTTTTTGGTTTTTGGTTTGTACGTTTGTTTGGGGGTCCACTATAACAGGTGCTTGGAGGTTACTCCTAACTCAGTGCTTGGATACCACATGTTGTGGGGGATTGAACATAGACCTCTCCCTTGCAAGACAGTCAGACCCAACCAGCTTTGATGCAGTCACAACACCATGAACGTCTCTGGCTGAGCTCCACCAGGTTCCTGTGCAATATCCCTGGGATCCTGAAAGTGCCTCCAAACTCAGCCTGATGCTGATGATGCTGCTCAAGGCTGTCCTGCTCTACCTGCACAGGTAGTGGCTGCTCAAGTCTGCCCTGCGGTCCCAATCACCTCCTTCTCACTGACTCTTTAGGCACACCAAAGAGGTAGGAAGAAGCAGGTGAGCGGGAGAACTGGAGGAAGCTTCAGAAGGTGGTGGTGGTCAGCAGATTGTTGGGAAAGTCTTGTGGTGTGACCATGCAGTGTCTTCATGAAAAGCCAGCTCACTACTCAGATCTCTTCACTCCAGTACAGGGAACTTCCTCCTCCCAGAAAGCCAGGGCTGGTCGCTCAGGGCTACTGGACTATCCCTCCTGGGGTCAACCAGCAGACTGTCCCAGCATCCATGAAATTGCTGTGAAATTATATGCAAAAACTCAACTATGAATGACTTTGTAAATCATGCCGTCTCACTAAAAATAAAAAAATGAAAAAAAAAGTGAGAGAAAGAAAGAATAAGACAAAAGCACAAGGATTGTCAAAACTACTTTAGAATCAACAGAGCAAGATCCAGAGAGACAGAGCATTGTGTAAGGTGCTTGCCAAGTATGTTGCTAAAACCGGTTCAATCCCTAACATCACCTGAGCCCACCAGGAGTAATTCATGAGTGCAGAGCCAAGAGCTTTCCTGAGCACCACTGGTGGTGCCCCAAACCACTACCTGCACCCCCCAAAAAGTCAGGAGCAGTCATGAGTGAGCTCACAGGCTAGTCATTTATTTGACAAACTATTGCTCATCCACCTTGGTTCCCAACACAGAGCCTTTGTTTAAGTTTATAGAGACATTAAGGACAAGCACATCCAAATCAAACAGAGGTTTAAAATAGTTCACATAGTCAATCAACATGTAGCCTAAAGTACAGAGTAAAGTCATAAAGATTTTATATTCTATTTTGGCCTGCTGCTATACCCCAGGAGGGAGAGTCAGAGGCAAAATTTGTTACCCCTTTCTCTAAACTTGTCTTACCCTGGGGACTATCACAATTAAGGGGGTTTGATAGGGGTTAATTTCCCACAGAGTGGGACCAGGTGTAGGCCATTATCACTGCAGCTGGAAAGGCTCCCTCACTCTTTCTGAGATAGATTATCTAGTCACTCAGTTTTGTTGCTGAGGTTGGTGATCTACAAGAGTATCAACATTACTAATTATACTTCTCATGCACTGTACCAAACTCCAACCCAAGAGTGTCAGTATCCCTTCACCTTTTCCCTGAGGCCCTTCTCCAGCTTCCTGCATTTGTAGCCTCATTTTCCAGCTGGGAAATCAGACACAGTTGCCTCTGCCAGGTCAGAACTTATGAGCTCTGCCCCCTGCAGTCACCTCCTCAAGGTGGGTGGGGCCACCCTTTCCTGACACTGATGTGGGTTGGGTGATCAGGCACAGTCAGGCTGAGCCAGCCATCCTGCAGTCACGGCACCATGAGTGTCTCCGCGCTGAGCCCCACCAGATCCCTGGGCAGTTTCTCTGGGCTCCTGCAAGTGGCCTTCCTGCTCGGCCTGGTGCTGCTGCTGCTCAAGGCTGTCCAGCTCTACCTGCACCGCCAGTGGCTGCTCAAGGCTGTCCGAGAGTTCCCATCACCTCCCTCCCACTGGCTCTTCGGGCACTACAAGGAGGTAGGAAGGAGCAGGGAGGTGAGCGGGAGGACTGGGGGAGGCTTCAGAAGGTGTGGTGGTCAGCAGATCGTTGGAAAGTCTTGCTGCACGACCTCTCTGGGTCTCGGGGAAGCCAGCTCCCCTCTCGGGTCATCCACCCCAGCCCAGGGAACTCTCTGCTCTTAGAAACTGGGGCTGGTGGCTCAGGTTTTTCTGGTTCTGCCTCCTGGGGTATAGCAGCAGTCCTGCACTCACAAGACAATAGTGGTGCCTCCCTGAGTCTCCCTGACCAGCTGGGAAGCCTCAGATCTTTGCACAAAACAGGGTTTCTAGATGCTTCCCTGACCAGTTGCTCAATCCATCCTCTATACCAGATGAAGCTTACCAGAAATCACAGCCACTACATGCTGTGGGGTGCCTAGTGCAAGCAGGGATCATGTTCCAACCCCTCACCAGTTGCTGGCATTTGGGGTGCCAGGGTGCCAGGATGGCCTCAGGTGAAGGACACTGACATTTGACTTGCACAGTTAAACACCGTGTTTCCCCTCCCAGTTCTCATTCTTGAAAATACGGTGCTGTGAGCTCAGGACTCCGTCCTCCTCACCTCACATCCAGCACAGAGGGGTGTCCACTGAGGAGTGTGGGGTATAGGTAGAAGGAGGAAAGCAGTGTCTTGTAGGTGGGGGAGGGGAGAGTCTCTCACACTATCCCAGGACTGTGCGCCGCTGCACAAGACGGATTCCGAATGAATAAAGACAGGCTCAAGCACAAGGCTTCCCAAAGAGGACTAAACCCTTATGTGGTTATGAGGTGCTGCAGGGAGCTGAAAGGATGTTTAGCCATAAAACAGAAAACTTTGGGTTCTACACTGAAGAGTTTCAACAGACTACTCCAGGCCTTTGTGACTCATAAAGTTTCTTATTAGCAAGGGAAAAGGACATTGAAAAGTGAGATATCAAGATGATAGTGCCACACCATTTCCATGTGTATACATCCAGACTTACTCTAAATGAGTACCTCTTTGGTATTTGGAATAATATGATACAGATATCTTGAATTTGATTGTTGTTGCCTCAGCCATATAGATCCCAACACCCTCCTATAAAAACTACTATATGCTGATCATCTAATCTTTGATAAAGGTGCAAGTAATGTGAAGTGGAGTAAGGAAAGCCTCTTTAATAAATTGTGTTGGCATCACTGGATGGCTACATGCAAAAAAATAGGCTCAGAACTCTGCCTAACACCATGTACAAAAGTAAGATCAAAATGGATTAAAGACCTCAATATCAGACCAGAAACCATAAGGTACATTGAAGATAAAGTTGGCAAAACCCTCCATGACATTGAAGCTAATGGTATCTTCAAAGATGCCACGCCACTGGCCGAGCAAGTGAAAACAGAGATAGATAAATGGGACTATCTTAAACTAAGAAGCTTCTGCACCTCCAAAGAAACAGTGACCAAAATACAAAGACAGTCTACAGAATAGGAAAGGATATTCACCTAATACACATCTGACAAGGGGTTGATATCCAGGATATACAAAATACTGGTTAAACTCCACAAGAAGAAAACATCCAATCCCATCCAAAAATGGGGCAATGAAATGAACAGAAACTTTCTCAAAGAAGAAATCCGAATGGCAAAAAAGCACATGAGAAAATGCTCTACATCATTAGTCATCAGGGAGATGCAGATCAAAACCACAATGAGATACCATCTCACACCTCAGAGACTGGCCCACATTCAAAAGAACAAAAGCAACCGATGCTGGCGTGGATGTGGCGAGAAAGGGACACTCCTTCACTGTTGGTGGGAATGTCCACTGGTTCAGCCCTTCTGGAAAACAATATGGACGATTCTCAAAAAATTAGAAATTGAGCTCCCATTTGGCCCAGCAATACCACTCCTGGGAATATATCCCAGAGAGGCAAAAATGTATAGTCGAAGTGACATCTGCACTTGTTTGTTCATTGCAGCACTCTTTACAATAGCCAGAAACTGAAAGAAACCTGAATGCCCAAGAACAGATGACTGATTAAAGAAACTTTGGTACATCTACACAATGGAGTACTATGTAGCTCTTAGAAAAGATGAAGTCATGAAATTTACATACAAGTGGTACAATATGGAAAGTATCATGCTAAGCGAAATGAGTCAGAAAGAGAGGGATAGACAAAGAAAGATTGCATTCATCTGGGGGATATAAAGTAACAAAGTATGAGATTAATACCCAAGAATAACTGAGATCAGCACCAGGAGGATTACTCCATAACTTAGAGGCCAGCCGGGTATCCTAGAGGAAAGGGCAGTTCAGATAAAGAAGGGAGCACCAAATAAAGGATGTTTGGAGGATCCTCCCAGGAGGGGAGATGCATGTCGAAAGTAGACTATGGACTGAACATGTTTGCCACTCAATGCCTCTTTTGCAGACCACAACACCCAAAAAGAGAGAGAGAACACAGGGGATTGCCCTGCCACAGAGACAGGGGGGATGGGGGATGGGGGTGGGAGGGATATTATCCATGGTGGTGGAAAATGGGCACTGGTGGAGGGATGGGTATCTGATCATTGTATAATTGAAACCAAAGCACAAAAAATTGTAAATCTACAACTGTAAAAAAAAATAAAATAAAATAAAATAAAGGGAAAAAACCCTACTATATGCATGTGTGCTGGATAGCAGAAGACCAATACGGAAAGTAAAATTAATAGATAAATATAGAATTTAGTATATCCTCTTTATTCTCTAATAAAGTAAAGTAAAGTAAAGGCCCTCCCGTTGATCGTCGATTTGCTCGAGCGGGCCCAGTAACGTCTCCATTGGAGACTTTGTTGTTACTGTGTCTGGCATATCGAATACTCTCGGTAGCTTGTGGGGCTCTCCGAGAGGGGCGGAGGAATCGAACTCCGGTCGGCCATGTTGGCTGCGTGCAAGGCAGACGCCCTACCACTGTGCTATCGTTCCAGTTTATTAGTCTCTAATAAACATACTTATTTGTTGTTATTTTGCGGTTTTGGGTACAAAGGTTGAGTTCAGGGCTTCCTCTTGATTCTGCTCAGTGATCGCTCTGGCTGGGTCTCAGGGAACCACATGTGGTGTCAGGGATCAAACCAAGGAGGGGTGTGTGCAAGGCAAGCACCCACATATTTCCATCCTGCCGCCCAGGATATTCAGGTGACCAACAAATTGTAGATAGCAATGTCGTAATGATTCAAAAACTTTGTACAAGATGTATTCAGTTTTTTCAGCCCATTCCTGTGAGAGCCAAGGGTCTACCCAACGTGCAAAGAGAATCTGGCCTTTGGCCTGCATGAGACAACCACGCAGTCTGCATCAGAGTCCAAATTCTAAACTGCCCTTAACTTTGTTTTTGACTGGTTCAGCCTACCACTGAACCTTCACTCCAGGAAGGCACTTTATGAAGAGTTTAATTTGTTTTTTCCCCCATGATAACAGTTCCAAGAGAAAAATGAACTGCCCGTGATAGTAAAATGGATGAAGAAATACCCAAGCGCTTGTTCTCGCTGGCTGTGGGGGGCAAAGCCCCAACTTTTGATCTACGACCCTGACTATATGAAGGTGATACTTGGGAGATCAGGTGAGAGGAAACTTCTGTTCACTGATATGAGTACAGGACCCTGGTCTGAAAAATTCCAGAGTATCATTTCAGTGAGTGAGCTGGACCTGAGCTTCCTCCAGCCATGCCTCTTCTTTTCTTCCAACCCACTCCAATCTATTCCTCCAACCAAGTTCTTCTTTCCCTTTCAGACCCCAAAGATGACAGTATCTACCGTTTAGCGAGTCCCTGGATTGGTAAGTACATCTGTCTAAAACAGTGGCCCTCTATCTAGTTGGATTTGCCAAGGACTTATTTCAATGACAGAGAGAATAACAGGTGACCTACATCATGTCACTACCCAATTCTCTGATTCAGGACTCATTCCCGTCTCTTAAAACCATTAATCATCCAACTTGTTCTTTATGCTTAGGTGCCACAGGTGAGAAAGTTATTCTGTATCTTTCCTTTCTTTCTGACTTTCTTCACTCAGCACAATACCCCTTAGTTCCACCTTTGTTTCTGTAAATTGCATAATTTTGTTCTTTCTCTGAGCTGCATAGTATTCCATTATGCATACATACCACAGCTTCTTTTTTTTAAAAAAATTGAATCACCTCGAGAAACATAGTTTCTCATGTTCTCATGTTGTTCATGTTTGAATTTCAGTCATACAGTGTTCCAAAATCTATTGTTCAACCAGTGTATATTTCCCACTACCTGTGCCTCTAGTTTCACCTAGCCATCTTCCCCTCTGACCCCATCCCCATAGATAACTTTAATGGCAGCCACTTTTTTCTCTTTCTCTGTCTCTGCCTTTATCTCTGTCTCTGTCTCTCTCTGTATCTCCTCCCCCTCTCCCTCTTTTCATTCTCATTCTCTCTCCCTCTCTCTCTCTGTCTCTCTCTCTCTCCATCCCCCCTTTTTATCTCTCTTATTTTCCTTTTAGGCTGTGGTTCGTAATACTTTTACTGAAATGTATCATGCATATCACTTTGCCTACATTCAGCACTCAGTTTTTGTCCAGAGTGATCATTCTATCGTTGTCATGCTGGTCCTTTCTCTGCTCTAACTGCACTCTCCCTCACCCTTTGTAACAAGCTTCCTACTGTGGATGAGTTCTCCTGGCCCTTATTTCTATGTCTCCGGGTATTTTTCAGTCACTATATTTTTGTTTCTTTATATCCCACAAATGAGTTCAATCATTGTTTGTCCCTCTCCCGCTGACTCATTTCACTCACACGGTACTCTCCATGTCCATCCATGTGTAAGCAAATGTCATGACTTCATTTTCCATAACAGTAGTGCAGTATTTTGTTATGTGATTTACCATAGTGTCTTTATCGAGTTATCTATTCTTGGGCTTTTGGGTTGTTTTCATATTTGGTTATATTAATAGTGTTGAAATGAACATAAGAGTGTAGATGTCTTTTCTGCATTGTGTTTGAAGGGTTACTAGAGAATATTCCTGGGAATTGTATTCCTAGATTGTATGAAATCTGAATTTCTCATTTTTTGAACAATGCCCAAATTGTTGTCCCCAAACTCTGGGTCAATCTGCATTCCCACCGGTAGTAAATGAGAAGCCTTTTCTCCCTGCATCCACGCCAGCACGGGTACTTTTTAAAAAAATTTTATTTTAATGAATCACTGTGAGATACAATTACAAACTTTCGTATTTGAGTTATGATCATACAATATTCAAACACCCATCCCTCCACCAGTGCACATCCCCCAAGCACTGGTTCTTTTGATGTGTGCCAGTCTCTGTGGTGTGAAATGATATTTCATTGTTGTTTTGATTCGTATCTCCCTGAAAACTAGTGATGAAGAGCACTTTTCTGTGTTCCTTTAGGCCATTTATATTTCTTATTTGAGGAAGTTTGCGCTCATCTCTTCTACCCATTTTTTTCATTGGGCCATACTTTTTTTCTTGTAAGGTTCAACCAGTGCCTTTTATATCATGGATATTAACCTGTTATCAGATGGGTGTTGGTTAAATAATTTTTCCCATTCCATGGGCTGTCTTTGTATTCTGGTCATGATTTCCTTTGAATGCAGAAGCTTCTTGATTTAATGTAGCTCCATTTGTTGATCCATACTTCCACTTGCTTGGCCGTGCTGTTTCATCCTTAAAGATATCTTCAGCTTCCATATCATGGATATTTCTGCCTATGTTTTCCTCTGTGCATCTTATGGATTCAGGTCTGATATCAAGGTCTTTAACCCACTTTAATTTGATTTTTTTGCATGATTTAGAAAGAGGTCTGAGTTTCTTTCTTTTTTATTATTATTATTGCTGGACAGAGCGATAGCACAGTGAGTAGGGCATTTACCTTGCATATGGCCGACCTGGGTTCAATTCCTCCGACCCTCTCAGAGAGCCTAGGAAGCTACCAAGAGTATTCCGCCCACATGGCGTATTCAATATGCCAAAAACAGTAACAGCAAGTCTCACAATGGAGACATTACTGGTGATTGCTCGAGCAAATCGATGAACAACAGGACTACAGTGCTACAGTGCTACATTATTATTATTATTATTATTATTATTATTATTATTATTATTTAGCTGTTGAAGAGGTTCCCTTGTTCTATTTCATACTTCTTGCTCCTTTATGGAAAATTAAGTGATCGTATGCCGAGTGCTGTTTCAAGATATTCAAGTTGATTTTATTGATCTGAGGGTCTGTTTTTATTCCAACATCATGTTTTTTTTAATTACTACTGCTTTATAATAAGTTTAAAGTTGGGGAAAGTGATGCCTCCCGTCTTTATTTTCCAAAGGACTGCTTTAGCTATTTAAGGATGGATGGGGGATGTGGGGTTATTGCTCCATATAAATTTCAGGAGTGTTTGATCTATTTCTTTAAAAAATCACCCGGGTATCATTCTAAGGACTGCCGCTGCATCTGTGCAAAGCTTTGGAGAATATTTCCATTTCGATAATATTAACCCTCTCAATTCATGAGCAGGAAATGTGATTCCATTTTCTTGCTTCCTCTTTTCTGTTTTTTCTTTCTCTCTCCTTCCTTCCTTCCTTCCTTCCTTCCTTCCTTCCTTCCTTCCTTCCTCCCTCCCTCCCTCCCTCCCTTTCTTCCTTCCTTCCTTCCTGCCTTCCTTCCTTCCTTCCTTCCTTCCTTTTCCTTGAGCTACACCCAGTGGTGCTCAGGGGTTACTGCTAGCTCTACCCTCAGGAATTACCACTGGCAGTGCTCAAGGAACAATATTCGGGCCTGGGAGTCAAACCTGGATTAACAGCATGCAAGGAAAAATGCCCTCCTTGCTGTAGTATCACTCTGACCCCGTTTTGTTTTTTTGAAGTGGTGAATTATAATTTTCTTTGTTTAGGTCTTTTACTGCTTTACTTAGGCTGATTCTGATTTATTATATTTTCTGAGCCACAATTGTTAATGAGATGGTTTATTAAAATATATCTTTTTCCTATTTCATTATTTGTATATTGGAAAGCCATATTTTTTGCATAATAATTTTGTAGTCTTCCACTTACCATATGAATCTATTATTCTTAGGAGATTTTTCATAGAGTCTTTATGATTTTCTAAGTATAGGATCAAGTCATCCTCAATAGTGAGAGCTTAATTGATGTGGCATGTACTTCCAATACTATATTGAATAGAAGTTATGGAAGTGGGCAACCTTGTCTTATGTCTGATCTTAGAGAGAAAACTTTTAGTTTTTTTCCCATTAAGAATAACGTTTGTTGTGAGCTTGTGGTAAATGGCTTTGACTATATTGAGGAAAGTTTCTTCAATTACCATTTTGTTGAGAAATTTTTGTCATGCAATTCTTGCCAAATGTTTTCTCTGTATCTATTGATAGGATCAAACAGTTTTTATGTTTTCTTTTATAGTATGGTGTATTATGTTCATTGACTTGTGTATGTTTAACCACCCTTACATTCTCACGATGAATCCTACTTGGTCACTGTCGTTTTGATCTCATGATCTTTTTAATGATCCAACAGGATTCCATTTGCTAGTATTTTGTTGGGGATCTTTGTATTTGTGTTCATCTGGAATATTGGCCTATAATTCTCTCTCTCTCTCTCTCTCTCTCTCTCTCTCTCTCTCTCTCTCTCTTTGGAAGTGTCTCTGTCTTCATTTTGGTGCAAGGATGATGTTTGCTTTATAGAACTCTTTGGGATTGTTTTTGTTTTTTCAGTTTTCTGGGAGAGTCTGAAAAATATTGACAACAGGTCCCCTTTAAAAGTTTGAAAGAATTCATTAGTGAATTCATCTGGGACATGATTTTGTTTTGGGGAAACTTTTAATTATCATTTCAATTTCATCAATGATGATAGGTCTGTTCAGGTATTTCAAATCATCTTAGCTCAGCCTTGGGAAGTTATAGGAGTCCACGAATTTATACATTGCTACTGGCTTCTCTCTTTTCATGGCACAACAATTCTCAAAGTAATACCTGATGATCCTTTGAATTTCTGTGATGTTTCCTGTCATGTCCCCTCTTTCATTTCTGATTCAGTTTTTATTTGTTCTCTTTGTGAGACATGCTAGTGTTTTACCGATCCGGTTAATTTTCTCAAAGAACCAGTTCTTGGTTTCAGTGATCTTTTGGATTGTTTTTAAGTATTCCAGTTCATTAATTTCCACTCTATGTTTTAATATTTCCTTCATCCTGCCTGCTTTGGGCCCCCTTTGTCGATTATTTTCCTGTTTCTTAAGTTATGTAGTCATAATCCATAATGGGCCATTTCTTTCTTCCTGATGAAAGCTTGCATGAACTGTCCTCTTAACACCACATTTGCTGTATCCCACAAATTCAGGTAGACTGTGCCCTCCTTCTCTTTTGCTTCCATGAAGCTTTTAAATTCCCCTTTGACGTCCTCTCTGGCCCACTGTTTGTTAAGTAATAAGCTATTTGAATGCCTGATGTTTGAGTTGTTTCTTCATTTCTGTTTGTGATTAACTTCTACTTTCAGAGTGTCCTGGTCTGAGAAGATAGTTGATGTGATTTCTATGCTCTTGACTTTGTGGAGTTGTTTTGAGTGAATGTATGTTCTGGAGAATGTCCCATATATGTGGAGTAGAATGTATATTCTGCCTTTTGAGAATGAAAGTTGCTAGATGCATATATATATGGCATAATATATATATATATATATATTACGCCCCTCTCTTCCATTTCTTCCCTCAAATAAAGTATTTCCTTGCTGAGTTTTAGTATAGTTAATCTGTTAAGAGGTGACAAAGTGGTGTTGAAAACTCCAATTACTATTTTGTTGCTATCAATGTCTTTCTTCAAGACTTTTAGTAGTTTTTTTAAAAAATAATTTCCTCATATTTAATTAGGTCCATATATATTTAGAAGTGTGAGTGGTTTCTGATGTACATAGTGCTTGATCATTAAGAAAATACTTTCTCTGTCTCTTATTTTCCTTTTAAGTCTGATAATGGTGTAGCTACCAGTGTCTTTTTACGGGAGTTGTTTGCTTGAATAATTGTCTTCCAACCTTTGACTTTGAGAGTATGTTTGCTCTGACTGCTTAAATGTTTTTCCTGCAGGCACCAGAGTGTTCGGTTCCATTTTCTAATCCATCCTGCACTCTGTATCTCTAGCCTATTGACATTAAGAGATTCTAGTTGTGGGGTTTTGTGCCATTTTCCTACAGAAGTTTGGCACGTTTGTGGGGCTTGTCTTGACTTAAAGTAGCCCATTGAGTTCTTGTAATGATAGTCTTGAGTCTCTGCAGTTCCTGAATTGTTGTTTATCTGTAAGTTGTGGATTGTTCCTTCAAAAATGAATGAGAGGGGCTGGAGCAATACAGCGGGTAGGGCATTTGCAGGTGGGTCATTTGACTTGCACACGGCTGAGCCGGGTTCAATCCCCGGCATCCCATATGGTCCCCCACACACTGACAGGAGTAATTCCTGAGTGCAGAGCCAGGAGTAACCCCTGAGCATCACTGGGTGTGACCCAAAAATCAACAAGAAAATATGAATGAGAGCATGGTTTGGTTAAGAATTCATGGTGAGGCATTTGTTTGATTGTGTTTTGTTCACCATATCCCACCACTGTCTTCTGATAAGTCTACTGAAAACTTAAGACTCTCCTTTGTATATTATTTACGTCTTTGACTTTGATGCTTTTGTATTTTATCTCTATCTATGGTTTTATTTTTCATTCTTGTTAGGATGTGCCTTGGAGTATTTTTATATGTATTTCTTTTATCTGGTACCATTTAGGCTTCCTGGGTCTGGGTGCATTAACTCTTCAGCTCTGGGAACTTCTCAGCAATGATGGACTTGATTGTTCTTCCATCAGCGTTGCCTTCCTGCCCCTCTGGGACCCTGATGAATCTTATGTTGTTTCTCTTCAATTCATCGCAAAGTTCTCTTCTCATCTGTTGTTGGGGAAGGGGGGGTGGGGTTGAGAGCTTTTTCTATCTTCTGCTACTCTCTTGAGATTTTCTGTACCTCATCTTGGAGCTAACTGATTCTATCCTCCACACAAGTTACTTTGCTTCTGAGGTTATCCAATGAGTTTTACATCACACCTAGTTTTCAGATCTGTTATTTGTTTTGTATTTTACTCATTTATGCTCTCATATGCTCTTGTGTTTTATTGGTGATTTATTCCAGTATTTCCATGAACTCCCTAGGAATGCATCCTTAACAATTCCTCTCTAAATTCCTTATCAGAGAGATTATATAGCTCATAATTATTAGTTGAGAATTACAGGAAATGCATCTTCACTCCCTAAGCATGGAGGGTTTTTTGTTGCTTTACCATTGTTACCAATGCAGTTTGGAGCTGTATCTTGTGTGTTGTTTTATGGTTAGGTACCACAGGATATCTATGTATGTTTAAGTAAGTTATGGAGGGAAGAAGTCATGCTTAGCTGGGGAGCAAAGCTGACTGGGCTGAACAGAGCTAAGCTGGGGTGGCTAAAGACCTTCCACTGTCATATCCATTTTTAGGGTGGGTACCCGTCCTGATTTGAGGGGCAAAATGGTGTTCCTGAGTAAAATGCAGGGGCCACGATGTCTTGGCTCCCTAAGTTTCCGTTGTCTGGGGCTCTATACCACAGATTTTTGATTCATTCATCTGTATTGGCATTTGGGTTCTTTCTATCTTTGCTTCTGTATAAAGATAGACAGCAAGATAGTAATAAAGGGCCAGAAGCAACACAAAGGGAGAAATGATTTATGAAAAGGCCCTGTGATACTCGGGAGAGGACGGAATACATACGATGATGCATGGTGTTGGAATTATGAGTCTGAGAAAACATCATTATTAATTAGCATGGTAAATCACAGTTTCCATCAATTTTTAAAAATTTTTTCTATTGTGATGTTCATCTCCTACTTGTGCCATGATGTGCCTTTGTGGAATACCCATGGCTCTGGTGAAGAAACTCTAGTCCTTCTAATCACATCTCCTCTCTCCCTGCACATACCCTTGTGTGGCCCAGGGTACGGTTTGCTCCTGTTGAATGGACAGCCCTGGTTCAAGCACCGACGCATGCTGACCCCAGCTTTCCACTATGACATCCTCAAGCCCTATGTGGGGCTCACAGCTAATTCTGTGCGAGTGATGCTGGTAAGTCTGTCTTTCTCTCATCTGTCCTTTACTCACACCACAGTTGAGGGTCCATCCTTACCCAAGTGCCCCTAGATCTCCCAGACATGTTCATATACAACAACAAGTCCACATGGGGTGGTTGTTCTCCCAAAGTGAACGACTTGTGAAATGACCCATGCACCAATTGGAGACCCACTTGGCTCTACACATATAGAAAAGAGCTACTGTGAAGAAATGGGCCCTTCTTCTGCCCCTCTTTGTCTTTGGTTGATAGATCCCTGGACAGTTGGACATGTTATACTGAACTGGCCTATTCATGGTCACAGTCAGTGACAGGATGTACTTCTCAGGATGTCTTGCCAAGGGCTCTGGATGGGCACAAGACTTCTGCAATTCATGAAGTCCTCTATAGAGGTCAGTGTGTCTCCCAGAGACACACTCTGTTAACTACTCTTCCCAGAGGAATCTGGGCTCTCAACCACCAGGTCAGCTAACAGCAAATGAACAGAGTAACTGAATCTACAAGAACAGATCCCTTGGCTTTCTCTCATCAGACACTTAAGTTTACTTCCCTTATATCTTCTTTCATCAAGCTGAGCTCATGGGTTAGTGAAGATTCACCTTTAGACCCTGAGAAATTATTAATCTCCAAAAGAGCAAGATTTAATAAGATATTTTGTAAGATATTTAACAAGATATTTTAGTAAATTGTCACATCACCAAAAGACATTCTTTATGCACTTTATTGGCATTCCACAGGCAGATGGATGTAAAAGCAGTTAGACAGGATGATGGCCAATGACATTTACTGAAATGAAACATTGCCAATATGGGGAAAGATAAAGTGGCCTTTGTTCAGGGTGAGAGGAAAGGATAGAATGGGAAAGATATAACAAGGGATTAACAGGCAGCGAAAAGTAAGGCACAAAGTAAAAGATAAACTGAAGCACAGAGAATTGGGAGTGTCCCTGGGGAACTTGGAGTGCCTCAGGAGCACTGCACAGGATAGCTAGGTGATAGGCAAATAGGATATAGGCAAATAGTATATAGGTGATAGGCAAATAGGATAGGATAGGACAGCAAGGTGATAGGCAAATCCCTTAACATAAGCTCTCTGTAAGGGAGGGAAGACTATTTAAACGCAAGTCTGAGCTGCTCATAACTGTGGAGGGGCCCATAATTTAGCAAACTCTGCTAACTGAACTATAGCATCACAATGACTGGAAGACATGCACCCTTTTGTGCTGTCCCTCCATCTCAGAGATGTCTCTGAAGCCCTCTTGCCTCTAGGAGAATCCCTGGAGAACTGCTCAACAGGGTGGCACTGACCAGGTATTTGAGAAAAGTGCCAGCAGGGATTCCAACACATGTCCTTCTGGGAGACATATGTGCTCATGTCCCTTCCCCCAGGACAAATGGGAAGAGCTCAGCAGACACAGTGTTCCCATGGACGTCTCTGGACACATCTCCTTGATGACGCTGGACTCCATCATGAAGTGCGCCTTCAGCTACCCCAGCAGCCTGCAGTCTGACAGGTCAGTGGTTACCCCAGTCAGCACCTGTTCTGTCCAGCTCTGGGAACTACCTGGAAGGCCAGAAGGATGGTTTGCGTATGAACCAGTGCAAACAGCGAGGCTCTCAGGAGTCCTGACCAGGGACAAGTCTTGGCATCTCCTCTCACGCTCCAGATCAACCACAGCTTAACTCTGGCCTCTGATCATTATGCCTGGTTTCTTAACACTGTCTAAAGACAAAGGGTGAAGGCAGAAATAACTGCTTCCCCGTTCTTGTGGAAACCTCCACCAGATCCCCATTCTAATGCCATAATCCCTCTTTCCCATGTGCTCTGCCGACAGGAAGTCCCGAACCTACACCCAGGCCATCGAGGACATAAAGAACCTCTTCTATTTCCGCAAGTGGAACTTTTTGTACCATAATGACTTCATCTACAGCCTGACTTCCATGGGCCGCAGATTTTTCAAGGCCTGTGAGCTTGCCCATGAACACACAGGTGAGATCACATATCTGGAGTTCTTCCCACTATCATCAGCCACATACAAAGAATTCAGTGGGATATCCCTGATATAACTGGAACTTTGGGTCTACTCAGGACTAGAGAACCTGAGAGTACCAGGTGCTGAGCTATAAGGTCATTTCAAATATCTCCTTTTGGGGAATGTTGAATACAACTTGGGTTTCTCACCTCTGTGCACCCGTACTCCATCATCCCACCTCATCCACTGCATACACTCTGGGGGAGGTATTTATACTCCTGAGGACACTGACATGGGCCTCCACATCCTCCACTGTGCTTTGAACCACTTTCCCAACAGACCGTGTGATCCAGCAGAGGAAGTTACGCCTGCATGATGAGGGTGAGTTGGAAAAGATCAGGAAGAAGAGGCACCTGGACTTCCTGGACATCCTGCTCTTTGCCAGGGTATGTGGAGGGGAGGGGAGTGTATGTGGGAGAATGGGGGGTGGGGGCAGGCATGATAAGTCTGGAGGGTGAGTATAGAGAAGGGAGATCTATAGTGAAGGTGAGTGTGGAGGGTGAATGTGGGGCGTGAGAATGAGAATGGAGGAGGGTGAGTGTGGAGAAGGCTGTTGCTGTGCCCACACACCCAGAGACAAAGATGCCAACCCACTCTCTCGCCATGTCCACAGTCAGAGGATGGGAGTGGCCTGTCTGACAAGGATCTACGGGCAGAAGTGGACACATTCATGTTCGAGGGTCACGACACCACGGCCAGCGGCATCTCCTGGATCCTCTATGCATTGGCCACGCACCCCGAGCACCAGCAGCAGTGCCGGGAGGAGCTCCAGAGCCTGCTGGGGGATGGCGCCTCCATCACCTGGTGAGTGCCAGTTGTAGGCAAGCCCAGTACCTCAGGAGTGGAGCCAGGGCAGCTCCACTCACACTCAGGATGCTCCTTTCAGGGACCACATGGACAAGATGCCCTACACCACCATGTGCATCAAGGAGGCGCTGCGGCTATACCCGCCTGTGCCTGGTGTGACCAGAGAGCTCAGCTCACCTGTCACCTTCCCTGATGGGCGCTCCCTACCCAAAGGTAGGCCTGCTCCTGGCACACTTGCTGAGAAGCTGGATAGTGAAAGGAGAGTAGGTCACAGGGCCAAAGATAGTCCTGAGCTCTCACTGCTTCCCCTCAAAAATCAATATTCTGTAGTTAGAATAAGATCTATGAAACACTGCCACAACTCCTGTGCCTGAAAAGCTCAGTCAATTCATTGTGGACTCTAAGTGTGGCATGAGATTTCAGCTCTAGAATGTTCATTTTCTGACCTGGAAGGACTGGGTGGTTAGAAAAAGACAAGGGGAATTGCGGTTCTCTCCAAGGAATACATGCAATCAGGGAGCAGGAACTCACTGCTGTATAAGAAAGTAGCCGATGAACAGACCTGAGACCACTAATGATGGGAGGCACCACCCTGTCCCCTCCACCAATGCCCCCCTGCCCCCTCCACATACACACTTACATCCAGGATCTGAACCACCTCTGCTGAACCAGCTGTGTGTGTAACAGCAAGTCGCTTAGATTCTCCTGAGCTCAGCTGAAAAAAGATCTGTTTTCTTAGAGGCTGTTTTTATGTGGAGAAACTGAGTTAATGCTCATTCCCTCAAGTTTCAACGAGCAATTACAAACAGGAATGTTGCAGGAGTTTATAAAAAGTAAAACTTTTGACTTCCCCATCCTGGTCCTGGTCAACTTCTGAGATGTGCACTCAGGCCTTGCCAGGATCCAGCAGTAAGTCCCACCCTCAAAACCCCATACATAGCATCCTCCAGACAAAGATGTGACAAGGTGCCAGGTGGCACACCAGGTTTTGTGAGTGCCATATGCACTACAGGCTGGGGTGCTGGTACCTGAAGTGTTGTGCTCAGTCTTCTCTCTCAACACTCTCCCCAGGAATTTCAGTGGGCCTGTCCATTTATTGTCTTCACCACAATCCAAATGTGTGGCCCAACCCAGAGGTATGATGTGGGGCAGCGGGTTGTCCTGGGTCACCTCACTCTCACCTCATCTCTCCTCTACTGAGTACTGACCCACCTGTTCTGTCCCTGTTCTCTGCAGGTGTTTGATCCTTCCCGGTTTGCACCAGGTGCTGCTCGGCACAGCCATGCGTTCCTGCCCTTCTCAGGGGGCTCCAGGTGAGCTGGCAGGGAGTTGGCAGGGAGGGATTTTACTGAGTGCAGCCCACTTGCAGGTGACCTCATACACCCACATGAGGTGTCTGCAGAGGGACCTTTGCCTATCATGGTGGGAAGGAGGCTTGCCCAGTGCTGTTGTAAAGAAGGTGACTGTTCAGGGCTTCCCTAAATCCTCTCTTGTAAAAAATATCTACGCCCGCGCAGAGGGATGGCAAGATGATGATGTATGTTCTTGGCGGGCTCTCCATGCAGCACCCGCTTGCTGCCCGCGTTTGGTGCTCTCGAGCCACTCTGTATGGACTGGTTCGGGATGGCTCCTCCTTTGTTCTCTGCTTCTGTGTGTGCCGCTGTGCTCTCTTCTGTCTTTCTATTTCTGACTCTGTCTCTGTAGTCTCTCCTCTGGTTTTTCCAATCTCTCTGTCTCTGTCTCTGTCTCTCTCTCCCTTCTGTTTCTTCTCTGGAGCCCTTCTGCTTCTCTCTCTGGAGTACTTCTGCTTCTCTCCCTGGAGCCCTTAGCTCTGGATTCTGACTCTGCACCTTCTTCTTTGGTTCTCTGCTTCTTCTTCCCTAGATCCTGACCCTGATTTTTGGAGCCCGACCTCTTCTGATCTTGCAGTCTTAGTTTAGATAGCAATCACATAGAGTGGTGATACAAAGGTGGGTTGAGTATTAACAAATCGACAAAGAGAGGTAAAGCCACTCCTCCAGGAGATTAACTAAAGGATAAAATATCATCTAAGGAGATTACTCCGGATTACTAGGAGATCCACTTAAGGGCAGGATCCCATCCAGGGTGTGTCACTTTCTTCTTTCCTCAGCTAGTAATCCACTTAATTAGTTATAGTAAATTTACTTCTAATATTTCTATCAATGTAATTCTGTATGAGCACAGTAAGAGATATATCAAACTTAGAGTTTGGTTCTTCCTGAGGACATCTTACTATATATTCCAGATCACAGTCCTCAGGCCAGGTTAGTCTTCCTAATCCCTGCAGCGTCCTAGTCTTGTCATTACTTTTGGATCATGACAGCATTTGTCTATGATCATGCTCTCAACTTATACTTGAGTATTGTGGTGCTTTGGCCTGGTCCATTTTGATGCCAGGGTAGTTCACAGCTTGCACTGGATCCATTCAGTTCCTCGTCCAAACCCTGTTTGGAGGGTTCTAGGAGCTAAGGGCAACTGAGTTGAGAGAGCAGATGCTCAGGAGTAAGTATTATTGGAGTCAATCAACCACTAAGTTACAAAGTATAATATGAACTGTCTTTCTGTGCCCATACAAAAAAGACATTGATTTAAGGCAAACTAAGTTTCCTGTGGCAGGGCTGAAAGGACAAACCCAATATCACCCTACACACTCTGCTGGTCTTTAATAAGAACCAAGGCACAGCTGCAGCAGAAGAACCAGAGCCCGTGTCTTCCTGTGCTTTGGTGCTTTACAAAATAGAATGTTTTAGAATTAACCTCCAATTACTTTTCTTTATCATGATGTTTCACTTTGCCCAGAGCCTCAGGTGGCCTGTACCCACCCTCAGAGGGCACTGATGTTGGAGTTGTTGGGATTCCCAGTATGCCCTTGTGCTGACATTGGGAGGCTTACTGGAAATTCTCAGGAGCGTTGGGAGAGACTCACACCGATGGTGTCATCTCAGTTCATAGCTCCCCAACAAGATCTGCCTGCCTATCAGTGTTTGTGTAATCATTAACATTTTCCATTTGGCAAAACCTTTATCTGAGGAAGTCTGAAGCCACATCATCTTCAATCTAAAAATCCAACGTGACTGAAAGTATATTACTAGGGACAATGGACTGGTATGAGGAAAGGGAATGTGCTATTTGCAGTAACACATACCAGCATTACTCTTGGTCAGACACATACCAGCTCAACACTCCATGAAACCCTCTACTGGTAAAATAATGACAAAGAGGAACTTTCAAGTAGTTACTAAAACACAATCTTTTGTTTTTATTTTTATTTTGGTTTTGGAGCCACTATCTATCATTGCTAGGGTCTATTTCAGACTCTACTTGTGAAACACTCTGGCATATCCCAGTAGACTGTGTGGTTCTGAGGATCAAGCCAGGCTCTTCTGCCTTCAGCTGTTGGAGCTCTCTCTTCACCCCAAACAGACAAGGCTTTGAACAAACTGTTCTTCCAGAGTTGGTGCTAGGCATTTGTTACTCCCAGGATTAAATTTCCTCATGGAATTATTGATATCAGGAAAGTGTGGAAGAAGACTAGGAGTCCTATTTCTAGTCCAGATCTTAATTTTATTTATTCTGAGACTTTTTTAGTTTTGTTGACTTGATTCAAATTGTAAAGTATGTCTTAAGTCTTTCCCTATATGCCCAGCCCTGGGCTATGAAAGGGTATTCAGCTTGAAACACTGTTCCTGCCTACAAATTTTCATAATCAGGAATCAGCACCAGCTTGTTCATTCTCTCCTCACTCACTCTTGGATGAGCAGAGTGTTGGCTGCTCCTGTCCCTCCCACTTTCTAAGCTCTGGACACTAATGTAAGGTTGAGATCTGGGGAGGAAGAACGAAGGAGGTAGAGGGGTAAAACAGGCTGTCACTGGACTGAGCCTTGAGGTTGTGTCAGAAGTGGAAGGAAGAATGCTGGCCATGTCAACATGAGCTGAGTGATTAAATGGACCTGAATAGTGAGGAGGTGAGTGAGGCAACAGCAAAGGAGTGAAGGATGTCAACTGAGATGCTAGGATGTTTTCTTTTATGCTCAGAGAGCCTCGCAGGGTCTGAGATAGCTGTGCTTCACTGTAAAGTAAGAGAAGCAGGGGACAGAGAGATCCCAGTAAGGACAGGAAGGAAAGCAAGGGCGCTTCTGCAGGACTGGAAGACACTGACGCTGGTTAAGTCAGGTACAGGGAGGTGGCTGTATGGGCCATTCATTGGAGCTGATGGTGCAGCAGGTTGAGCGTTAGTGTCCTAGGGATCCTCCACATGCTTCCTGATGGGAGCTGGAGCAGGTCTCAGAGTTGGAATTCAGGCCTATGTGGGTTGAGGAGGGACCGAGAACCCCATGAAGGAAACCTTGGGTCTAGGTACATGGCAGCTCTAATGGATGCTCGCCAGTCTAGAACTGAATCTGAGACCATTTCTCATATGACTGTCTCTCCACAGGAACTGCATCGGGAAGCAGTTTGCCATGAATGAGATGAAGGTGGCTGTGGCGCTGACCTTGCTCCGCTTCGAGCTGGCTCCTGACCCCTCCAGGGTCCCTATTCTCAGTGCTAAAACTGTGCTGACTTCAGAGAATGGAATTCATCTCTACCTCAAGAAACTCCCTTAACAATGTGGGGTCACTGATGGGTGTGAGGGGCTTCTGCCTGCTACTCTGTCTACTGTCACCTGACCCTTTTTCCCTTTACTGATTTCTTCTCTTTGGTGTAAGAAAAGGGAGTATGCTATTTGCAGAAACACATACCAGCATTACTCTTGGTCATATGCTTATGGGGTGTGGGATCTGTGGGGGATGGGGTTGCGCCTATGATTTCTGATTAGAAAACTCAGGGATTACTTCTGGTGACACTCAGCATACCAGGCCTTAAGATTGGATCTCGGGTCTTAGGATGAGTACTGTGCAGACCATAGGGGCCATTCTGGAAGTACTCATGAGCCTCGAGCTATCCTCTGCAGCTCAAGGGCCTTCCAGGCCATGTCCATTAATGGTTGGGGAACTGCCTTGAAGCAGGGATTGACGGGTTCAGGCTTAGCCCCTTGACTATCTCCCTACATGTCTCCCCCTTCCTTCTTTCTACCTGCCTCCTGCTTGATCTCTTATCTTTGCCAGTTCTGTTATCTCCCTTCATTGTCTCTAATTCCTGGACTCCCCATCTATTTGTCCTTCTGCCTCTCCCGACACACTGCACATCTGAGCACCACGTAAGTTTTGATTGCCTGCCTGATCTCAGCCTGCTGAGCTTGGCTGTATTTCTTCCTTTAACTTCCATATGTATCTGATTGGTGTTCTCCTGTGGGTCTAATAAAGTACATGAAACTTTGAGGTTCGCATCAATACAAAATGATAACCATACCACTTATCATTTAGCATGGGTAATCAGATAATCTGACTTTGGGTTGTGCAAGATACTGCAGAACTTCTAAGTTAGAATGTCATTGATTGTTTTTTCCAGGTGAGGAATGTACTCTTAAGTTCTTTTAGTAAGTTCCACCCAGTGTACATTCATCACCTGCTAGAAAGGATTCTTTCACTTTAAAAAAAATTCTTATGTCTAACATTTCAATTTACAAATTTGTTCATAACAGTAGTTTTGGATATTCAGTGTTCCAACACCAATCCCACCACCAGTGTGACCTTCTCTCCACCAGCATCTCCAATCTCCCACAAACTCCCCTAACCTGACCAAACAAAAAGCCACAAACAAATTTACTCCACATTGCTTGTTACAATAAATGATACATGAAATTATAAAAAAAAAACCAATAAAAATCAATTTGTGATGATTTTTGTATCTCACAATGGTGTTTCTAATGTCATTGTTTGAGGATTAAATGGCCTGGTTGGTGCTAGTTGAGCCTTCTGTGTTACTGTTGAGGTTCATTGAGCTTGGACATCCTCTACAACACTTTCCCATCAAATTTGATGTGCTCCTGCCAGACTGTCAGTCCCATAAAATTAGGAGGTATAGTTCAGCTTTCTAGCAGGTGATGAATGTACACTGGGTGGCATATAAACTTTTCTCCCAATACTATGAAACTTAAACTCTGTGAAGTAAATGACTTATTATTAAAACATATTCTTAGATGTACAGGAGTTAAGAGAAGGGATATTGACATACAGATGTGTGAATATGCATCACAGTCATAATAAAGCTAGGAAAAACAATCCAAAAATTTATAGTTTTTTCTGCAACTATCACATAGTTATGTATAGAATTTATAATCACTGTCACTGTCACTGTCCTCCCGTTGTTCATCGATTTGCTCGAGCGGGCCCAGTAACGTCTCCATTGGAGACTTTGTTGTTACTGTGTTTGGCATATCGAATACATCACGGGTAGCTTGCCAGGCTCTGCCGTGCGAGCTCGATATTCTCGGTAGTTTGCCGGGCTCTCCAAGAGAGGCGGAGGAATCGAACTCGGGTCGGCAATGTTGGCTGCGTGCAAGCAAATGCCCAACCGATGTGCTATTGCTCCAGCCCTCCACCTAAATACAGCCCTACCTATAAATACATGAATTTATAATCATGTAATCATATTTGAGGTTGGAGATACTACAGCGGATATGGAAATGTCTCACATGAACTCAACCTAGATTGTATGCCCAGTATCCCCTATGGTCGCCAGAGTCTGCCAGGAGGGATTCATGAGTGCCTAGCCAGGAGTAACCCCTGAGTATTGCCAGGTGTATCATCAAAACAAACAAATAATAATTATAATAATCATAATTAACTTTGCAGTGCACATTACATGTTATCTTTGAGCTCAGTAAACACTTCAGAGACATTTTGGAGAACTTTAACGCATGTCAACACCATGTGGTGGTACCAAGGAGGGAACCGCACTCTTAGAATCACCTCTCTACCTGTATTCAGGTTGAAGGCAGAAAATAAGCAGGGTCATTATATGCCTTTTTTTGAGGGTAATTATTTGGGTTAAAAAATATGCCTTGAAGAAGCAGCCCAGGGAGAGAAATGAAAGTCAACAACATTGGATGAATCATGCTGACTTGATCTGATCTAGAACATATGACCTGGCCTCAACTAGTGGGATGTGCAGGGTCTCCCCACCAGGATAAGCTAAAAAATGTCCTTAGAGGATTTGTTCAAAGATCAGTGATCACAAACTGACTGGGTATGACTTCCTGTCTAGCTGAGCATGTGGAGTGACCTGTCAGGACCATTGTCCTATATGAGACCCTTCACAGACTGAAATGTCCTAAAGCAACTAGTGACTACTATATCAACCTGCCACCTTGGTGATTAACTCAGTCCTCCTTTGTTTTTCTTAGACATATAAATGAAGCCCAGAAATATGCAGAAATATGGTCTAAAGTAAAAATTCTTTTTCCCAAGTAAAATAGTTTTATGAAGGAGGATTCTCATTCTAAGATGATTGTGGGATTTCCCAGAGTGAAAGAGGTGAAAGAGATGAAAGGTCAAAATAGAAAGGTGAGCTGATGCACCAGAGTTGGGATCTGGGTAGCCCAGAGTGTAGCGCCTTAATTTCCCTTTAGAAAGTCGCACTCTAGTCCCTAATTTTCCCCATTCACTTATTTATTCCTTCATCTAATCAGTAGGCATGTCCTGTATTCCATGTTATGGAAAGCCTATAGACATGGAATGCCCAAATACAACTCTCAATTATTTGGGGTTGGTGTATCTGGGTAGCAAAAGAGTGGGAGTGGACAAGACTTTACTAATTGAAAAATGCTGACCAGAATCCGGCATCGTTATTATGTGTTAAAACGTATACATTCTGATTTTATTGCTTCTTTAATGATTGCTTTCTTGTATCATTAATTTTTTTCCAGAACTCTTTCTCTATGAATGGTTTGTGCCACATTTTCTCTCAAAAACTAGGGAGGATGCCAGCATGTAATGATAATAACCTGAACGACTCCTGCTACTTGGATACAAGGGATAAGACAGTGCAAACAGGATATGCCCCATGTATCTTCTAGAAAGTCGACCAATCACCAAACAATCATGCTTGGTGTCATGCTTACAGTCATGTTCAACAATTAGATCTTCAGAGTTTACTGCTCTGGTTTGAATCCTGGATGTACCACTTACCTACAGGGTGACCCTGTAAGTAGCTGAACTCTTTGTAGCTTAATTTTCTCACATAGTCCAAGAATTGTGGGCATGGTTTGGGGTTTACGATCAGACTATGGTGGTGGGAAAGTGTAATGATGGAGATATTGGTGTTCAAATATTAAATGTAATCAAATATTTTGAACAACTTTTAAAAAATAAAATAAAAATTTTAATGATGTTAGGCCATTTGGAAAAGCAGCAGGACCACATTTTTAAACAGCATCTCTCCCACAGAGAAAACAGGAATGTGGTTGTTACAAAAAATATATATGTTTATTTTTCTGTAAGGTATTTTAAGGTAACTATAATACTGCATTTGAGTCATCTGAGTATAAGGTAAATTGGTAATTGTTGAAGGACTCCTCAAAGGAAAATATTCCTAAGAATAAAATCAATATAATACGCCAAAAAAGAACTGAGTACTAAAGGTAGTCAAAGGAATAATGCATGATAACTTCTCAGTTCCTATATTGCAAACCATAATGCCCAGAAGAAAAGAGAGTGAGAGAGAGAAAAAGGTGCTTGGGATAGAGGCATGTTGGTGGGGCAGGTGGAGGAAGGTGGAAGCAGGGAAAGTGGAGACATTGGTGGAAAGAAATACACATCGGTAAAGGGTTTACTATTGGAACATTGTATTACTGAAACCCAGTCAGGAACAACCTTGTGACCATGATAAAATATTGTTAATGATTGCATGTGAAAAGCCAGGATTTTGGCTGGAATGAAAAAAATCTGACCATTTAAATTGTGTAATGAAATCCCTATCATGATGAAAAGGAGGAGTTTTAGAAGTACAAGGTTAGGAGGATGAGGGAAAGTCAGGAAGAAGAGGGACCTCTTGGAAGGTTGCCTACTCAGGAATTCTTACTGAAATGTATTTTCTCTCTGAATTATGGTCTTGGAGGGGACCCTGAAGTAGATAATTATGAAACAGTGAGAGGAGGGGTAAGTTGAAGATGAATAGTTTCCCATTTCTTGCTCTCCCCTGTTGATTTCCATGAATTTCTGAACAGTATTTTTTTAAATTTTATTGAATCACCGTGAGATAGTTACAAGCTTTCATGTTTGGGTTACAATCACAGAATGATCAAACACCCATTTCTCCACCAGCGCACATTCCCCACCACCAATATCCCCGGTATACCCCACTTTCCCACCCTCCCCCTGTCTCCATGGCAGACAATATTCACCATACTCTCTCTCTACTTTTGGGCATTATGGTTTGCAATGCAGACATTGAGAGGTTATCATGTTTGGTCCTTTATCTACTTTCAGCACACATCTCCCATCCCGATCAATCCCTCAAGCCATCATTTTCTTGGTGATCCCTTCTCTATTCCAGCTGCCTTTTCCCCTTTGCTCAAGAGGCAGGCTTCCAGTTATGGAGCAATCTTCCTGTGCTGTGTATCTACTATCCTTAGGTGTCAGTCTCATGTTATGTTGTTTTATACTCCACAAATGAGTGCAGTCCTTCTATGCCTGTCCCTCTCTTTCTGATTCATTTCACTCATCATGATACTCTCCATGTCTATCCATTTATAAGCAAAGTTCATGACTTCATCTCTAGTGACAGCTGCATAGTATTCCATTGTGTAGATGTACCAAAGTTTCTTTGACCAGTCATCTGTTTTAGAGCACTTGGGCTGTTTCCAGATTTTGGCTATTGTGAACAGTGCTGCAATGAACATATAGGTACAGATGTCATTTCTACTACGGTTCTTTGCATCCTTGGGATATATTCCCAGAAGTGGAATTTCGAGGTCATCACTTGACCACTTGACTTCCCGTTAATCGTCAATTTGCTAGACCAGGTGCCAGTAATTTCTCCATTTGTCCCTGTCATGTGCTAGTGTGCCCAGTGGTGTCTGTTTGTTCCAGGAACACGTAAGTAAAAGTAAAGGCCCTCCCGTTGATCATCGATTTGCTCGAGTGGGCCCAGTAACGTCTCCATTGGAGACTTTGTTGTTACTGTGTCTGGCATATCGAATACTCTCGGTAGCTTGCCGGACTCTCCAAGAGGGGCGGAGGAATCGAACTCGGGTCGGCCATGTTGGCTGCATGCAAGGCAAACGCCCTACCCGCTGTGCTATCGCTCCAGCCCGCCAGGAACACGAAGAACCTCAAACTGATCATTCAGGATCTTGATAAAGAAGTCTGACCATCTGGTTGGTGGGCAGCCACGCGATCTTTTGACATCCCATGGAATCCAGTCGGTAATGGCTCTA